AAAAAAAAAAAAAAAAAATTATATATATATACACACAAATACATATATACATGGGGTAGGGTGGGAGAGAAGGAGCCTTCCCTCATCACTTCAGACAAGTTTCTCTCTCGCTTTTCAGAATTCATACAGCAAAGTATTTGGCATTTATAGTGTGCCTTGTATCGTCAGCCACATTTTCATACTGTAAGAGTTTTTGTTTTAAAAGCAGATTTAACCCTCCTCTAAGAGTCTTTATATTCATTGACTATTCTAGGGCCCTACTTATTGCCAGTAGCAGTAAACAGTTGAGTAATAATACAGTACGGAGTGTGGGTCGGCTGCATTCAGAGCGCTCAAGTGTGACAGTGGCTTTAAAGTGGAGGCCTCTTCCCAACGACCGATATAACCCTGGGAGGTACCCTTCCAAAGCCACACATTCATTCTCTTCCTGTCTTCTCACGTACTGCTGGGATTTCTCTTTCCACTCCGGGGGACGGATCTGAATTTGTCATATTTACCGGCATGGAAGGAACGCTCGTAAAAAATTAGTTACTAGTATTACTAAGGCCGCACTGGCGGCGGCGGCGGCGCTGCAGCCACACCTACTCCGCTGCCGCGGCACCGGGAGCCCGAAGAAGGCGGGTCAGAGGGGCCACCGGGTCTCCGGGCGCCGCCCCCTCCTCGACTCCTTCGGGGAAGGTTCTCAGCGCGGGACCCGAGGCCAGGGCGCCCCGGGTGGAGGGGGACCAGCGGTCGGGCCGCTTGTCGCCCCCGCCCAAGCACGTGGGAGGCTGGCGAAAATGAGCACCCATCCCGAGAAGGGAGAGACCAGGCCTGGCAGGAGCCGCGGCCTGGGGAGAAGCTGAGGTAAAGAATCCGGCGCCCGGACCGCGATCGTCCCGCAGCCTCCTCACCCGGGCGCTCCAGGACAACGGCTTCCGAGGGCGGCCGCCAGAGCCCCTGCCTCCCCGCCTCCCAGCTCGGGTCACCCCGCGGGAGGCGGAGCTCTGCGGGGGCCGGGCCGGCCCTCCCCAGCCGAATGCCCCTTTCCCCGCGGGCGTCCCCTTGCCCCTCCGCCACTCACGGTGCTTGCCGCTGCCGCCGCCGCCGCCGCCGCCGCCGCCGCCGCCGCCGCTCGGGTAGCTCAGTAGCAGGAAGGGCAGTGGGGAGCCGGGCGACGGCGGGGTCCTCCAGGAGCGCTGCTGCTGCGGCGGCGGGCGCGCTCCGAAGCCGGCGCCTCCATCGCCGGAGTAGAGCAGGAAGAAGGGGGCGGCCACCGGCGAGTCCGGGTCCAACTGCCCGGCGGGGGAGGCGGGCGGCGGCCCCGCCTCGCTCTCTCGGTCAGTGCCCCCGGCGGGAGCGCGGCGCGGCTCCTCTGGCCGCCACTCCCCGCCCCTCGCCGGCTCCTCGCTGCAACTTTCGGCACCAGCGGTGGGCGGCGGCGGGGTCTCAGCCATGCTCGCTTCTTCCTTCGCCGCCGCCTCCGACTCGCGCCCGGGCCTGGGCGGGGGAGCAGAGGGTCAGGGCGAGGAGCCGCCGCCCCGTCCCGTCCGCGCCGCCGCCACCGCCACCTTTCTCCTTGGCCACGGGCTGGCGCCTGGGCTCGGCCGCTCGGTCCAGAGCCCGCCCCGCCGGGGTCCGAGCCAGCTGGAGGGACCGCCCCGCCCGACGGCGCGGCCTCGCTACCGGCCGCCTCCTCCCGCCCCTCCCGGTCCGGCCCCCAGCCTGTGACTCGGCTCCCCTAGGGGGCAGCGTCCTCCTTTTCCCATTCCTCACCTTCCGCTTCCCTCCCGCGGGGCTTCCCTCCCTGGGGCCTAGGGCCTCGTCCTTACCCGCCCGGGTTGGCCCTCTTAAGGCGGTCAGGTGCGTCTGGCACTTGAAAGGTGAAAGACCTGGCGAAATACCTGGCGGCGTTTGGTCGTGTAACCGCCAACTTTATCGGTAGCACGAAGGCACAAAGATTTGGGTTGAAGAAGAGACGAAAGCTAATTTTAAAAAAGCACCTCCCTGCCCCCGGGTATTAACTGTACCATTTGCCTTTCACACACAGGAACTTAAACCATTGATTCACTGTTTTGATTAATGAGGTTTTTATGTGAGAAACCAAAGGTGGTGTCTTCCTTCCACCACCTCTTTTGTTCCCGTCTTGTGCGCTGTATTGAAATGGTGTATTTGCTTTGACTTTAACTCCCAGGTTTTCTAGAGCCGCTGGTGCGCATGAGTGCATTTTAAACCAAATAGCTTACAATTTATACGACAAATGGCAATTACAGGTCGACAGTTTTCTCTTTCACAGTGCCCGTGTCTCGCTAGTAACTGGCCACCGTTGCTTTGAGTATTCGAATCAATGATTACTGATCTAGTAATTTCCTTAAGTAAACATTTCTTTCGGCAATAAAGACAATTTCCAGTGACTCTCATGGTTCTTTATCCTGGATTCCTAGCTGATTAGCCTTGTGTTTAATGCTGGCATAGAAGCCATGTTGACTTATAATTAAAAATCACTGTTGTGTAACATTTTGCCCACCTGCTTTTTCTTCTTCCTCTGTTCAGTCTTTCCCTGTGAGAGGAAGTTGTACTCCTTTGAAAGGAAAAGTAAATCTTTTTATTACTGTTGTTATTCTCTGTAAATCACTCTTGAATTCCTACTCGCAATTACCATAAGACTTACAATACTACTTTTCACTGAGTCTTTTAACAAGGAGCATTTAAAAAGTAAGTGTTTACAGGATAATTTTGAGCAGTCTTAGAACTTTTCAGATTCTGGCGTTTCCTTGACCTGTTGATCTCAGTTCTACTACCTATTTGAATAAGTTATTTGTCCAGCTCTGTAAAATGATTATATTAATCATAGATATTGTGAGGGCTAAATAAGAAATAGAAATAAAGTCTTTAAAATACAACTTAACATTTTATTTAAATTGGCTTAAATAATAATTAGTAGTACTTCAGCAGCACATAAACTAAAATTGGAACAATACAGAAAAGATTAACATTCTCCTGCATGAGGATGACCTGAAAATTTGTGAAGCATTCCATATTAAAAAATAATTATTATTATTAGGAATATTTTATCATTTTGGCAAAACGGCATTTAACTTACAATAATAAAAACATACTGAGTTGAGGAAAAAAGCCTTTGCATCGTATCTTTAGCATTTTGAAGGTGGTTTGGGTCTTAACTCAGTGTAGGTGAAAATCTCGATAGGAAGACCTATTTGTTTTTTAGGAATTGCTAACTGTGTGATACCCTGATAAGAAAAACTGAAAGCATTTGATACAGCAATCCCATTACTGGGTATATACCCAAAGGATTATAAATGATTCTATTATAAAGACACATGCACACGTATGTTTGTGTTTTTATTTTATTTATTTTTTTCCCATTTATTTTATTGCATTTTAGGTTTTGAGGTACATGTGAGGAACATGCAAGATTGTTGCATAGGTACACACGTGGCAGTGTGATTTGCTGCCTTCCTCCCCATCACCTACATCTGGCATCTCTCCCCTTGCTATCTCTCCCCAGCTCCCCACCCCCCACCGTCCCTCCCCTATTTCCCCCCAACTGACCCCAGTGTGTAGTGCTCCCCTCCCTGTGTCCATGTGTTCTCATTGTTCAACA